GGAATACTTTAAAACAGAAAAGCAGAAGAGGGAGAAACCAAATGTTTCTTGCAATTACAGTTGTTGTCTTTTGGATATCACTACAAAGTGTGAACATTTATCTTTAAAATAAAGGTTTTTTTTTTAAAAAAAACTTGGAACAAATTAGTACTACCTGTTGCCAGTTGAAAGGATTTGTCCGTTTGTCAGAGGACATCAACTCCAGCTACTCACAGCACTGTTTCTCTTTGGCTGCAAATCTGTTGTAGAGAGGCCACATCTTTACTTTAATGATAAAAGTGTATTTGAGGTGCGAAGGAAGTCAGATAAAGGCGATGGCAAATACGTGAACAGAAAATTTGCAACCTTTCCAGTTAAAATACAAGGAAGCAGAGGATTACTCTCAAATAAGAGTCAAAAAGTGCACAGAAAAGGTCTGGAGCACAAGAGAACCTTCTAAGCCAACAGCTGGCACACAGTCTCTGGGTACTGCGAAAGACACGTGCGCCAAGATTCCCACACTCGTGAGCAGTATTACAGCCCACGAGAACTTTCCCCGTACATTTCAATGGATTAGGCTTTCACTTTGCTGCAATAAGCAGTTGTCCATATCCACAAAATCAACTGCCTCATGTAACAGGCACATGTTAGGAAACTTGCTTTTGTCAGGCATGGCTTTTTTGTTCTGTCTTTGTTTTGTTTCTTTTTGCAGTCCGCACTTTTGAGAATCTGTACTATATTAACTCATTCAAATACTGCAAAATCATCAATGTCAGTTGATCATGCATCTCAGTAGTCCCAAAAACACTGCAAGGCTGGATAATTCAGGGAAGTGAGGAAGAGCAGCAGCATCTTTACAGATGTCAGAAACAGATTCTCAAAGACACAAACGCTGATGAAGTTTACAAATGTTTTTCTTTCATTGTTTAAATAAAAGTTCTGAGAACATCCACATCCCACATTATTGCCATAATAAAAAGTTTGTATGACACTGGTTAGAAATGGACAGAAATATCCATACAGTGATTGCACAAAACATCTGTGGAACTGAAGATAACTTCAGCAAGTCAGTTGGTTTAAATGAATAGCATTTCCTGTTCCAAGGTCTTGTCTACATAGCCAAGTTACATAAAGATAACCTAAAATAGAAATTTAAACCTAATGAAATTAATCAGAAAACCTGCTGGGTATATAATCCTTTTTCACGGTGAAAGTGGCTTGCGGTCTAGCTTAACTCTATTAGGAGCAGGCTTACATTACATCAGAAGAATGTCTGCAAATGAATTTGCATCGTTTAAACAAATTTAGTCAAACCCAGTATGAGTTAATCAGTGCATATCTTCCAGAGTCAGTTTAAAAGGCAATTCAATGCAAAAACAAAACAAGCAGCTTTACAGAAAATACATAACCTCCTGAAACAGACTCTTTCTGTGAGGTGATTTGTACTTCCTAAGGATGCACAGCTCCCACTTGCCACTGAATTCAGTGGAAGTTCAAATGAATTAAGCCCTCCTCAGAGGCAGACCACAAGTCTGGAATTAACACTGCTGTATTTATTGCAAATACCACCACTCTCGTGCTGGAAGAGAGCCGTTGAGATGGCAAAAAGAAATGTGCCGAGATTAGACTCCAGTGCATCACACTGCGCAGCATTCACGTTGGAGTCAGACGCTACAGACGGACCAAGTCCGCTCCCAGGTCAGCAGACACTACCTACAGCCTCGCCCACAGACCTTCTGGCTGTCTTGCCGTCCTGGTTTTGGCCAGGACAGGGTTAATTTTCACCGGACTCCAGGAAGGGGCACAGCCGGGGGGTGGGGGCTGACCCCACCTGGCCAAACAGAGCTGGGTATTCCATACCATGGGACGTCACGCTGGGTTCTGGTGGGGGGGGGCAGCGCGGCGGGAACCCTCTCGGGGGTCCGGGGGGGGGGGCGCTTTTGTTGCCGGCGGCAGCCGAAACCAAAACACTTGCTCTTCATTACAACTGTCAAACTGACTTTGTGCAACTGCGACACGCAAAAGCCTTTATGAAATAATAAAAAACTTTTCAAGATAAACACCACGCTAAATGTTTGCTTGATTAGTAAAGCCATCCCACCTCAAGCCTATTCATGATACAATAGCAGTGTTTTATTCAGTAGTGGGTTCCCAGCCACATTAAAAGTGGCCACAGCCTTACGTGCCATGAAAACTAAATAGCTTATTGATATTGCTGCATATGCAAGAATAAACACTGCTTCAAGCACACTGCTTTACAGCTCTTAGGATAAACAACATCTTTCATTCACTACCAAGCAGACTGTTTGGGAAATAGCAGGTTAAGATCACTTGTTCGTAACACCAGAATTTCATTGTTCTTCTAGAAGAAACATACCACAAAGTACTCGTCATTGCAAAGTATACAACTCATAAGATTTAAAAGAAAAAACCAAACCCAATTCTTATATTAGACTTTCCAACAAAATTGGAAGGAGTTTGGGTTTTGCATCAAGAATAAAATGACAAAAAATTACTACAGATACTTCACTTAGAGTTTTAAGGCTTGTTTTTCAAGAGTTTCCTTCTCAAAGGCAGGCATGAATTTAAAGCCATAGTCTGCTTAAGACATCACACCTCAGATCTGCTCTGCTGCAGAAGATGCATACAGCCAAGCAGCATTTGTGGCAAGTCAGTGTATTTAACACTTCAGAACACAAGATGTTGTAGTTTCACAACAGAGCTATATACTGCTTTACAGAGTACTTAGCAGCACCGTCATTATTAGAGCTTTCCTGTAAGGCAATCAAACAGGAGTATTTAAAAAAAAAGAAGCATGAGGTTTGGATCATCAGTGATATTTGACATAAATCAAAAAGAAAGAGAGAGAATTAATATGAGATCAGTCAAGCTCTTAAAAGAGCAAAGGCCTCTGTCAGCCTTGGAGCTGCTCCTCCATTTATTAGTCAGAGAAACAGATCCAACTTCTGATTTCTTTGCTGAGAATGCCAGTCAGCAGCTCCTAAACAAGAGCAGAGCTCTTCCAATACCACTTTTTTTTCTCCTGAGGAAGAAGCTCATTACCACCTGCCAGCCATCAGCTAGTACAGATTCGGTTTCCTCCAGCCCACCACCTTGTCCCTCACAGTGCAAATACAGTAACCACTCCTACATTCAACTACTCCGGTACTGAAAGCAAAATCCAAAAAAATTAAAACTTATCTGCTATAACTGTATTTCTTTGAACTCAAAGGTATATTTGGAAGAGGTAGTCCAGGAGAAAAGGGTTTCAGGTACCAAAATCTGTATGTCCCGTACCAAGCTGACAGACCTATCAACACACCAAAAAACTTCTGACTGAAGTCATGGAAATACACAGCAGTGCATAGAAACATGAACACCCAGATCATGGTGAGAAAGCACAAGGAAATAAACAGGCTGTTGATCACAACACGCAGCTTAGAGTTCTGGTCCATGGACAAGCTTTCCAGCACAGCCACTTCCTCCACAATCATCAGAGCACAGTACGAGAGGAGAAAACAGTGCCCTGAGATGTCAAAACCATTCCAGACCCCATTGTCCTGGTGGCACTCCTGCTTGGTGGCATACAGCCGGTGAGGCTCGCCGAGTTTACCCGTGGTAGAGCACACGCCGGTGAGATTCTCGATATACGTGAAGAGTCCAGTGCAGACGTACCAGACGGCAGTGCCCACCAGCAGCGCACTGAGACGCCGCAGCACCATCAAAATGCTCTTCGTGGGACCATAGAGGAACTTGCTCTTGGCAAACTGGTAGGTTGTGACTGCGATGAAGGGCAGCAGAAGGCAGAGCGTCCATGCCCAAGCCACCTTGACAAAATACCTGCCAGAAAAAAGCCAAAAGAGAAACGTGCATGTGTGAAACTTCACAGGAGCTAAGTGGTGGTGCCTGAAGAAGTAGGTTTTCAAGGTCAGTGTTTAGAGCTGTCTAAACCAGACACTTGTGTCCGTCCCTCAAAGTAAAGCATAGCTAAAAATCTTAACCTTCTCCCCACTATTTCCCTTGGGCCCAGTGCCTGAATACTCCCCCAGCCAGGCATTTCAACTGTTTCCCAGGCAGCATTCCCTTGGACCTAGAGCCTTCGCTCAGACTTGCTGTTCAGATTTGCAATCGCTTTTACCCTACAGACCCGCTCAGCTCCACCCTACTCAATATGCCACTGCTAAGAACGTATTTTTAGCTTGCCACCCTGACCACAGTAACCCTTTCTCTGACTCTCTTAATCTCAATTATCTTTGCTTTCAAAGCCCCTCACAACCTCAACTTCTTAATTCCGAATAAGGTTTTGGCTGGGACAGACTTAATTTCCATCTCAGTAGCTTCTGTGTTTTCAATTTAGTACCAGAAGAATACTGGTAATACACTGATGTTTTCAGTTGTTGCTACAAATCAAGGACTTTTCCCAGTTTCCCATGTTCAGCTGCTGAGCAGGAGTTGGGGGGGAGCACAGCCAGGCAGCCAGCCCAAGCTGGCCAGTGGAAATATTCCACAGACCTCCTGCTCAGCTTATGAAGGGGGCTGGCTGGGGGCAGG